CTATTCTGTCAGTGTGGGTGTTTTTAATATAATACAAAATGGATACATTTTTCTTTTAAATAGAAGAGGGCAGTCTCTGCTTTCTCTAGCATATCATCTTGCAATAGTAGCAAACCCTAGAGTGAAATTTCATGGACTTGAATTTTTTTGCTTTGATTTAAATAGAATTCAATCTTAATTTTTAGGTAACTTAATATATTCTTCAGAGTATCCTCTGACTTATTTTCAACAATGCCACTTTAAACAACAGTTCTTTTAACAGCAGTTGTTGGAGCTGTCGCATGATGTATTCCTTACAACATCGTTATCATCATTGTTACCATGTCTTTGTGTGTATCACTAAGACTTATTTACAAGGATAAAGCATTGCACGACTGCCCAACTGACTGCTGGTGAAAGGATTTGTGTTTCAGGTAAACTAACCAATAGTCATCATACCAATTGGGGGAAGAACGTTTATTAATCCAGGACATTACCACCTATTGCAAAGCCGCTTATGGTAAAAAAATTATTGAAAACCTATGCTATCATTCAATGGAAAGAAGACAAAACCCTCTCATCTTCCCCTTTTGACACCAGCCATGCTGCCTAGCAAAGTAATGGCCTTCTGACGGTGTTACCTGACATTTTGTAACTGTGGTTGCTATAATAGCTTAGTGTGACCTCAACAGTTTTAAATCATTTTATCTCATGAGAAATAATGATCAGCCTTTAGAACTTGTGTGCAGTTAGTACCTCGCTATTTTGCCTAATGTTAATTAGTTCATAGTAATGTTTGCATCTGTTTACTAAAGATGTTACTTGTTTTATGCAACCCTTCACTTCCACAGTTTAAATCTGGGCAATTATTGTTCTCATTAATTTATTTCTATTTTTATTTTGTTTTCGTTGGGTTTATTTTTTATTTTTTTGCAAGGAGAGGTACTGAACAGCTCTTTCAGTATTCTGTTTATTATGCCGTCCTTTGAGGCTAATGGAGGAAACCAAATATGCAAGCTTTTATATTAAAGCATATTGTTTTTTCTGCTTTTCTTTTTAATTTTTTCGTTATATTAACCCTCTACAATCTTTCTTGAGAGTGTAAGGGTTGTATAATAGTTTCAGCTACTAAAAAGACGAACTTATGAGAACATATATTCCAAGTCTTACTATTATTAATGCTATTAGTTAAAAGTTATGACGTTTTGTTAACATCCTATACTTAATTTACCAAGAATTTGGTCCTGTTTTGTTTTAGTCTGGCTAGTGACACATATGTTGGGAAATAGATGGAGAAATGTTAAAGTTAAGTTATTTGTTTTCCTAGAAGAGATGTAGATGAATTTTGAGATGGTGATAGGAATATTTATATTTGGTTTTTAGGTAGACACAGTTATAAGACTGTTTAACTCCTGATAACATATTGTGTATATAAGTGAAATCGGTAAAACTTGATAAGAAAGGTCCATTACTCATTATTGTCAACATAACAGGTCCAAAAAAAAAAACAATCTTTAAATTCAGTATAATTTGACGTTCTACCATGTAATGTTTGTGAATCAAGAGTGAAGTAATTGAGGAATAAAACACCGGCCTCTCATATGGCCACCACTTGGAAAATGTTTTTTATTACATGTCTGAGACCAAAATTCTTGCAACGACAGGATCTCATTTTACTGCTTTACTGCTGCCCAGGAATTTATATGACTGAAAATATTCCCCATCTCATTTAGTATTAAAAAAAAGAAAAAAAAACTTCTTAGACCCCCCTTCCCTATCAAAAAATTCCTGCATCCACCCCTGAATATGCCTTGTATTTTTCTAGTTCGACATTTGCTATTTCGCCCCAGTCAAGGGACTCATCGGTGACAAAACATCACATTGAATCGTCGCTAAAAAAGCACTCATTTTTGACCATTGGCGACTTCGCAACTGTGCCATGGACAGAGAGGGATAGGAATTCGAGCTCCATCTCCCCCAACTTTGTAACTTGTAAGCAGGCCCTCGTCATCAGCGCTTCGAAGTGAACCTTTTCCTCGCCTACTGGAAATTATAAGGTCTTGAGCTACGCGAATCAGCAAAAGGTCTTAAAAGGATCTAACTCTTAAAATGTCAGACTCCCTGGAAACCTCTCCCCGACTCGTCTTAAATCTTCCCGCAGGCGGAGAAATGCTCGTCCTGCAAAGCTAACAATGCTGGCCCGCTCGCAAGCTATCAACGTTGAGTTCCATCCCCTTCTCATAACTCGATGAAAACTGTAGACTGTTCAGTTAATTTTAAGGTGCTCGCAGATTCGCTCTTCTCTCGCCCTTTTCCCTCGGCATTCCCTTTTCCGTAGGTATTCCCCCCCCCCTCCGTCATGCAACTGGCAATCCCTATGTGACATTGGGCCAGTTTGTCAGCATCATTTTGGGAATAGTGACGTCTTGTACTCCTTTTTTGACCCTGTCATTCATAGGATTGGGAGTGGCAGCCAGCCATACTTCAACAAGCTTTGCTCTCAATCGTTTGTTTGCGTTTGTCGCGTGCAGACGTCTCTCGTGCAGAAGGAAGATTCCTTACACGATAACTTAATACGCTGCTTTTTTAACCCCTTACTGTTCCCCTTTTCAGCACGCAAAAGATATCTACCACCGCGCGTGATCCGCTGGGCCCGTCTACATTGCTTGTCGCTTTAAGAACTTGAAAAACAATTTTAAAAAAAAACACGCCTGATTTGATATTCTCGGAAACTTTAGGCGAAGTTGTATAACTTGCCTCTTGAGAACGTGAACCTTTTTTAAACATTAATAAAGGAACTCAGACCATATTTGATAATAAATACATCTGTGTGTAACATCTTTAAGGTTGCACATGATTGGAAAAAAAAAATTTCGGATCATGGTATTTAAGAGTGTATAAACCTTAGCCAATAAGTTGCACCGCGAAATTATAGAGTCTGTTTCCAGTGTCAGATCAAGAACAGCTTTTGTATTTAGCGCTGCACATACCCTATGAATATTTATTTGTATTTAGCGCTGTACAGCCTATGAATACAATTGAGTACCGATCGATGGCCTACACGTAGGTGGTCGCCTGAATTTACTCGGCGTTAAGTATTACGTAACTTGTGCTCCAGTTCGCCCAATTCTTCTTTCCTTTGCCGGTTGTAGAAATAAATAACACCCCAGATTGCAGATTAAAATTCCGACGGTTATAAAATGTTTGCCGACAAAACTGATATACGGAAGTCTTAAAAACGAAGATTACTACTAATCTACTCGTGGGTTCAAAGTCCGGGAACAAAGTTGCGCATGATGTAATTGCCAGTTACCCATGTTGATTTTTGTTGTTGGATATTTTCTCTGTGATGGTAGTTCGACTCTAAGAACTAGGAGAAGAAACGATATGAAGTGCCTTGTTTTGTCTAGCCTACGAAGGAGCCGTTCCAATTTTTTCAGCAGATCAGTTGAATCCGGAGTGTGAGTGAGGCAAGGGTCACGCGAAGACCCTTCTGACACTACGCGATTCCCGCGCACCACACGCAAAAGACGGAAAGACTCTGTCTGCCATTAAACAATAATTGTCATAAAGCACGAGGGACTCATTTCTTTTGACGGCCTCATCGTCGGACACTTAGGATCTTTTCTATATGCACCACATTTTCACCTAAAAATTGATGCCCTCTTTCTTTAGAGTTTATTCTTGTATTCCTTCCGCTCTGTCATTATTCCGAGAAATACCGCAGCTTCCGCAGAGACTCTCGGTTCTAAAATGTGCATCATCATTTTTTTCCGTCCTCTCATGAAATTAAAGGCGCGCGCTCATTAGAAAACGCCGACGTTTTCTTCGTGGCGGGAGCTCGCTTGCGATAAATAGCGCCCGCGCGTATGTAGGGCTAAGTAAGTTCATAATAACATTTTTTTTCACTTTTTTTCTTGAATCGGTCTTAACTTTTTGCACGCCGGTTCGTTCCAAGTGCCGCACAACCGCAGAGCTGTTGAGAGCCTCTTGGTAGGGTAGACGTAATAACGGGAATTTTTTCGTGTAAACAAGATCTTCTGCTGCGAGTGATCTTAAACGTAAGCAAATAAACATATGGCGAGTTCGTAACCCGTTTTCATTTCAAATTACATTTCGAATTGAAAAGGCAAAGGCAAAGGCAAAGAACCTGAAGGCGAACGTGGACAAAAACAGATTCTATTTCAGAGGAAATGACTGAGCACTACAACAATAACCTAGTCATAAGTTTAATTTTCGAGTCTATCACCTTCTCGGGCCGAAAGCGTTGAGTGTCATCCGTATCCGTCAATTAGACTCTTAGTAGTTAGTGGCAAGTGGATCAAAAGTACTGACTTAACCATATTCGCCCAGTAATAACTCTCAGGGGGTTTTGTAATGGTGTGAGAATATCCTGAACTTTATCCAGAAATTACAGTATTCTAACTGAAGCAGAGTAAACAAGATTCCTCAAGAAAACTCAAACAGAGACTTAACTGAACCGTTCTCACATTTTAAAAACACTGAACACAGTTTTAGCCTCCGAGGCTGAGGTAGAGTGTTTCGCTCGGTATGTGTCCTCCTCGAATGCCTTTTTACCTTGTAACAAGAAATGATCACGTTTTTTCAAGAAAGAGGGGGGTGACATGTCCCTCGAGACACTCCCCCCTGCATGGCTGCACATGACAAAGCACTCAGTTTCGTTTGCCTAGGAGAACCTGAAAGCCATTTGAACGCTTTTTAGCTATTGCAACCTCCTTATTTGTTCCGTTCATCACTCTAAGCGCGCCGTTTGCTCCACTTAATTAAGAATCGCTGTCTCCCCCAGACTGATCTGAAGTGAAGATACATGACACCTCACAGTCAATTAGTGACGCGTTTCCGATAAACATTCGGATGTCCAATGCGATCGTATCTTTCAATGCCTTCTCGTATTTCAATCGAACACGGTTAAAGTCCAGTTTTTCCTCACTCAACTGCAGTTTAGTTTTTTACCTTCGTTGAGAATAGACGCCTGAGGCTTTTCACAGCTCGATTTCAAGATGAAGATAGCCGTAGCAGTTCTTCTAGTCTGTGTGGCTGCACCACAAAGTAAGTAATTCTTTTAGTCTGCCTCTTCTTTCGCAAGGAGCAAAAAAGTAAGGCTGTGCTGCTCACCCTCTTGACACTACATGGGAAATCGTTGACCGTCATCAATTGAATCTTAATGTCAGACCCGTTTTCTTACACTTCAGGGAGAAAACGGCCGATTTTGTCCCAAAAATTAGTCGGGACTGTTAGAACAAGCTTATGTTTTTCCCATTTTCCTACACTAAAAGCTCTTAAACGTGCTGACGAAATTTCCCTAAGATGCGCAACGTGAACATTGCAAACGTCGGAGTAGCATGTGGCATGGGCGTCGCTGAAAGAATTCACACAATTCACACTCTACACTAGTGTATATTTTCTTTGAATGAGTATTTTTAATTTTCGCGCGTAGAAGGAATCTGTATTAAGCAAAATTCGAACCTTCTAACCTTGCAATTGTTTCGTAATTTGTCGATGTCAATTGAGGATTTCAGTGTTTGCGGTATTGATTCAGTGATTGCTATCGGCTGCCACGAAATCGCTAAATCCCAAGTTTAGTAAACCTTTCCAGTTATAGCTTCCCTCAATTTCCTCTGCTGTTAGAACGATTTCATCAGAGGAATGTTACATGACCTTTCGCTTTGTCGTCGTGCGTATGACATACGAGGATCGGAAACTCAAGCTGTAAAATGATACAAGGAATTTGTCGAAATCACTTCAGACATTTGATCGACTTTTAAGCTTACTCAGACATTTTCCCAGATTATTCCGAGAAAACTTGTATTTTATTTTCTTGAAATCATGTCACATGAATTTAGCGTCGAAATGTCAGGAAATGGCACGCTAGGAGATAATCTCTCAGAAGCTCATATTCTGAGAATTATTGTTTGGGTTTAGAAACGAGATCTTATGACCTGACAGTCTATGTTTAGTCTTTCTTTCCCATATCACTGCAATTCCTTGTTTAGGCACTCACGAGTAAGACAATCAAAAATTCCTGAACGCAGTCCAATCATGGGGTTCGATTGCTGAAAGTCGGTTATTCGCTAAGAGGAGCTCAGGTCCTCACGAGATGTGTTGTTTTTCTCCTCCCTCGTTATCGCCAACGTCATTCTACTGAGAATATCATCACATTCAAAAATTGGTCTTGGCTACATTATGTGTAGTTTGAAACTCGATAACACTACGTAAAACAGTTAGAATGTTAATAATCCTAGCCTACATTACCCCAAAAGGCGTATGGAATTGCTTTTGCCTACTGAGCTAAAAAATTTGCACCGTAAGCAGCAAAGGAGACAGAATTCCCACAACTTGGCCAAAAATTCGATTTTTCCAAACGTTACTCTTGGTTAAAAGCCAAGATTTTAACATCCTTTAGCTCTTAGATAAATATTGCTGATTAGGTTACGTTTTATTGGACAATAATAAGCTTCTGATGACAACTAATATTGTTTGCATTCTATGTTAAGATTTTCGGACTTTAGCCATAGATCTCTATGAAGTGTGTTACATGATACGCCTTCTCAAAGCATGTGAAAGGATTAGTTTGCAAAAAATTAAAGCGACTCAACAGCCGTTAGGAAGTCTCTTTTGGGTTTTTTTTTGGAGCCAATCAAAGAGGAAGGATATACAGCATATTAGAGATTATGTTACGAAATAAAGCTCAGCTCAAAAGCTTAAATATGGCTGTTTTCGTACTCCATGCTGTTGTGTTTTCACATCGATGTTTCCTCTCTTTGTCTCTCATGCGTCATAGCAAAAAATTGCAATCTAAAGCTCTCAAGAGCTCTCTTGTGTCACTTATATTTCAAGAAATTTCACAATTTTTCTGAATTTGCTCGTAATCGTGGGCAGAAGAAAAATCTGTCACTACTCTCAAAGCAATGACGGAATGGCCAAAGTCCGGACTTAGATAAGACCAACCCCCGCAGAGAACGAGGGACGAAGTTCAAGCTTGCACAGGCAAAAATTTCAATGCTTCGTAAAGCAACTTTACTCTAGGAAAATAACTAAAACTTTGTATGTATAGAAAGAGCCTGGCTTACTTTCTTTTACGTCCTAATTGATCATTTAAAATAGATATTTCGCGATCAATTTTTAGTTGAATAGAGAGCTTCTATTTATTTCGTAGGCTACAGATTCGAAATAGATTCCGATCTGCATGAGTCAAAAAATATTATTAACGCGTTCTTGAACCTGTAATTTATTACTGTCATGCTGTAAGAAGAACTCTTTTGGTCGAATGACTATTTTAAACATATAGTTATTGCTGCGTCACAGACCTTGTGCAGCCTCGCTCATTTTATTTTTCCTCGCATGACTTTTTTGACCGCTATAAGATAAAAAAGATATGGCGCGTGGGCAGACCAACATGCGCTTGCATGGAAACGTTTTGCCAGCGTCAAATTCTTTCATAGCACTTGATGAGACATGTATCTGTCATTTTTTCGCGCGAGACACACGCGCGTTGCTCTCTGCTTGTCCCTCGCTTTAGGTTATCTATGCTCCTGTATTAAGAATTGTTAAACTTAACGTCGGTTTCTTATAACTGTGGTGACACTTATCGTCGCATTTTATATTTTTTCTCCGAAAGTTTTCGGATTCTCGCTCCCCTCTTTCGAGTATGGCGAAGCTTTTGAAAAAGCCAAAGAAATTGGACAGGAAGTTTTTCAGGAGGTTGGCAGACGCACTGAAGAGAAAAAGAACTCGTTGCTAGAATCGGGAGAACAAGCGGTGGAAAAGTTGAGGCAGATGAAAGAAGAGATCAGCAAGCGCGCTGGGGAAGTGCAAGAAACTGTGGAAGGATCTGGAATGGAAGCGGCGGAGAAGTTGAAGGAACTGAAAGATCAGGTAACCCAACGTGCCCAGAAACTAAAAGGAAGCGTTGAAGAAACTTTGGAAGAGAAGAAGAAATCTCTCCAGGAAACAGGAGAACAAGCTGTTGCGAAGCTGAGAGAACTTGGAGAACAGGCCACCAACCGTGCTGAGGAGATGAAACAAACACTTCAAGAAACAGGAGAACAAGCCAAGGAGAAGTTCGAAGAACTGAAAGAACAGGCAAGCCAACGTGCCGAGGAAATGAAGGGAAACGTGGAAGAAATGGTGGAGGAAAATAAGAAAAAATTTCTCGAGAATGGAGAACAAGCCATGGAGAAGTTGAGAGAACTGAAAGAACAGGCAAGCCAACAGGCCGAGGAAATGAGAGGAAACGTGGAGGAAATGGTGGAGGAAAATAAGAAAAAGTTGTTTGAGAATGGAGAACAAGCCATGGAGAAGTTAAGAGAACTGAGAGAACAGGCAAGCCAACGTGCCGAGGAAATGAAAGGAAACGTAGAGGAAATGGTGGTCGAGAACCAGAAAAAATTATTTGAAAATGGAGAACAAGCCATGGAGAAGTTGAGAGATATGAAAAAGAAACTCTGGAATGAAATGAAACAGAACGCTGGCACAAACAAAGAGCAACTGCTGCAAGCCTTCCGTCAGAAGAAACAAGAAATGAAAGAATACTGGGGCGAGATAAACAAGCAAGCTGGTGAGGGCCAAGAAAAATTCAGGAAAATCTGGAGGGAGAACAAAGACAAATTGCGTGAAAAGGCAGAGGAGGTCAGTGTAACCCTTTGTTGTTTCTATATTAGTGTTGTTTTAACTCTTCTTTCGGGTATAAAATTTGCTTCTTAGACATTTACTAAAAAAAAGTTCTAGTGCAAAAGAACCCGTTTGGATGGAATACGTTAGCTATAGAACCAACACCAAAGAGATCACAAAGAACAATTAGAAATGAAAAATATCACGAGGAGCCTGAAAAACTCAATATAGAAACGACCATACTGCATGAAACCTTTAATCCCTGAGATTTCTGACCTCTTATTTCTCCCTATTGTGTTACCCTTGAATCAAATGTGAAGGTCTTGAGAATGTAGGAAATGATCGCCAACGTAAATAGTTCTTGATTGTCAAACAGATTCTCCTTTTCGACACCTTGCGAAATGTATAGAGACCAGTATGGAGAATGTATAAAGCACCGGAAAAGCGATAATTTGTTGTCAGTTTTGCATAAGGCTACATTGGTCCAAGGTCTGGTGCATGTCTCATGAGAAAGATAACGTAATGATAAATATGTCCCGGAGTTACATAAGTGTGTAATTACGGAGTATTTTTCTTTACAGCAATGGGTGAAGTTCACTCAAATGACCACTGAACAACTCGAACAAGCCAAATCGGAAATTACTGATCTTGAAGAAAGACTGGTCTCCAGCCTTCCCGAGAAACCTTGGAAACAATTGAAAGACATACAAACGACTGTCAAGGATGTCATAAAGTAAGAGAGATAACTAAAGTATTCGCTCATTTTGCAAACAGTATTTAGGGGATATGAGGAGGGTACGTTTTCATGGAACTTTGGTATTCAAAAATAAACACAAATAACGTGTGATTTATATTTTAAACCCTCGGATGAGGTTTCATGACCCACCTTGGTACTCGCTGTTAAATAACTAAATATGGTAACAACATACTGTAACCAGATCTTTTTTGTTTTCTCCTTAGGTCTCTGGCAGAAATTCTGAATGTAAAAGTACGACAACTGCAACCCGAGGAGCCTGAGCCGACAGAAATTCCGTTCACCGGTGAGCCAAGCGAAGCTCCGATCACCGGCGAGTTCAGCGAAAGCAATGCTGCCGATGGCGGTGTCGGAAAAAAAGAAGAAGAGCCCCGTTTTTTCTCGCGCCTCCTGTCCGAGCGCAAAAAACGCAAAATGAAGCAGATCTTGAAGCAAGGAAGATCCTCCCTGTGGAAGTTGTGGAAAAAGAGCAGAGGTCTTAACTAGAAGAAAAATCAGCCTTGAGGTTCTCGCCTTGTTTTTTCACTCATAACGTTTTGATTTACATAGTTAATTTATATATATATATTATTTCATGGGGTTCCATGGGTTCAATATAGGTATATCTGATTATAAACAGTTCTGAGGCACTCTTGTCCCAATTGATGCCTACTGAGGAGCAAATTACGTGACGAAGCATTTATGAATTTTGGTGAACTCTTTGTTGCAGTTGCAAACACGTTTTCGATCTCTTTTTTTTTGTTTTGTTTTGTTTTTTTTTGTAACGTAAGTTTCTCGTCATCAAGTGTCGTCCTCTTTGCCGACGACAACGAGCTCGGTGATTTTCTCAGTCTTATTTTGTATCTGGGATAAACTTCTTAAGGGGACCGAATATTAACCGTGAAATTTCGTGTTTGAGTCGAAAAGTTTCTTTCTTTGATCAAATAAAGACATTTTGAAATATAAAAGCTGTTGTTGTCTGTGCTGTGTGTGTCAATTGAATGATCAGTTGTTTGACGTTCGGGGTAATCACTGAAGTTTCTGCAGGCTACTTTTTAATATTCTCCTCATGGTGAGTAATATTCACCGCCTGTGTGTAGTGCTTCCGAAGGATTATGGACTTTTCACTACTTGAGCGCTAATTTTACTTGTTTGCATGAAGAACACTATCAATAACTTAAAGTCAACCAGGTAGTTGCAATTTCAGTCATACAAATCTCTTTAAGTAAAGAAACGATACGAAAGGACTCGATTGAAATTTTTAAGTCGTCGCTCTAGGGAAGAATTCCGAAAATCTATTGAAGCAGCCTCGGGGAATTTCATATTGCATAGAGTTGGCGCGAGGTTCTAGTTGTTGGAGATTTGCTATAGACTATTCTTTTCGCAACCACGAAATCCCGCTGGGTGTAATTTTCAGTAAATTTGTCCGTTAAAACCTTTTGGATTCTCCATACTGGTCTTTATACATTTCTTTAGGTGTTGACCAGGAGAATTTGTTTACTGATCACACGCTTCTTTTTTTGGGCATCATTTTCTTCATTCTCATGACCTGAATGTCTGATTCAGGTGTGATATTGTAGGGAGAAATTAGATGCTGGTCATTCTATGGGTTTAAAGGGTTAACTATTGTTCCTCTTCGACAAAAGGAAGTGAAAAAGACTTCTTCTCTCCACTTTCCCTCCATTTCCGTGCGCGAAATTATAGTAGTAATTGAGAAGAGGGCATCACCCAGAAATAATACATCTGGAACTCAACTACGATCTGGACTAGACGTGGCCTAGAACTTACGGTGCATTGAAAATATGTGTGTCATGATAACGTGTTATCGTGTGTTATCATTGAAGTACATTGAAATTTATTTTGCTTTTGATATGGCTTCAGTTAAAAATAAAATCGGATATCCTGCGATGAAAATAACTTGCTTACTTTCTGATCTGAACCTCTCCAGAATCAAGGTTACTTCCCACCTTCACGGGTGTCCTAGCAAACTATACGTCGGAGGAAAGCTCAATAACTGCAGTTTACGATGAAAATACAATTAAAGCGGGTTTTTCTGTCAGAAAGTGTCAGGAGCCGGTAAGGTGTGAAACGACTGAGGGCTCTTCTATTTTATTTATCGGGTATCGGATGCCACAGCACGAGCAAAATGGCTGCACAGTCTTATTCACAAGGCATCCATCAACTACCATGTGCCAAGTCTTTTCGATATTCTGATTGGTTGTCCAGATATCGGCATCTAAGTTGGAGTAGCTAAAAATATGCGAGGCGTGTAGAGCAAATAGATGCCACGTGACAAATATTTCAATTATCAAAATTTTTCCGACACGTTTTCGTTAGCCATTATTCCTGGAATGTTTCGGCGAAATTTGACTGAAATCGGTGAAATCTAAATACCCTATAAATTTGCCTAGAGTGGTTGTGTTCCTCCCAAAATCGAATGCGAGATTTTAGCTAATATACGTTCGTAAACAACTCGCGCCTCGCCAGGAGATTAATGATCTTGTCTCCTGAAACGGCAAACCAATGGGACAAAGGGACCTCCTGGCGTCGCTGACGATGGATCACGATTTCCAGGGAAAAGCAACCCATTGCAAACACGTCGTTTTTTTTTTTTTTTATCTCGATCCCTTTGTAGAGCGTTTAGGAAGAAAACACAATAATGGGCAAAGTTGCCAAAGGCAAAGGAAAAACTGGCGGCAAACATGAAAAAACCGGAAAATGTGCCGAGAAGTAAGACAAAGAATCGACATACAGCTTTCAAAATTACGATTTGAGGCGATCGCTAATTATTTTGTATCAAGGCTGGTACTTGCATAAATAAAAGGAAACCTCGTTTTTAACATTATGTATCACAAATTTTGGTTTGACGGCGACTTCTTTGTTCGGAATCTGGACGCCAGCGTGGAGCTCCGCCAGTACCAGTCGCTTTCACCAAGGATTTTTTCCTTTCTTAATAGAATGGAACTCTTTCTCTTTTCATTGGGCCTGCTTTTTTTCCCCCAATTTTTTCACCAAGGAATTTCTTCTGCTTTTGATTTATACATAAGCAAAGCCGATTTTCCCATAGGTAAAGAGCTTTCCCGTCAAGTGCGCGATGTAAACAAAATGTGCAAATAACATGAAAAACGAGCACCAAGATGAGCGGTTGCTGCGAAGATTTCCCCAAGGGATTCGCCAAGATACGAGATTATGATACCCTCCGGATTTAATAACTTTTATTTGAACATACGTCAGTTAAGATGTTTGAATTCAGTTGAGTCAAATAGAAAAAACAATTTTTCGGCCTCTTAGGTGGGAAGTAACCTTAAATTCATTTGTCGTGTATTCCTTCGTAAATAAACTTAGAATATGACGCTCAATCCTCAGTGTTTACGCGAGACAACTCGGTACGTGGTAGAAAATGCAAAATATTGGCCCTTGAAAGCGTGGAATGGCAGTGCAGATGTCCACGGTTTTTTAATCAGCAGAAACAGTGTAAAACAGAAAAACGCTGCATTGGAAAGCCTTGTGCTCTGTTTTTAAATACACCAAATAATTGACATATGGCTTCAACTGATGTAGTTTACCTTCTGTCTGTCGCTGATATTAATCACATTCAGATAAGGTATTCCCCTCTTTCGATTTCAATTCTGCAAATGAACTTGTTGTTACCATTGCAACAGCACATCATAAATTTTTTCTGCTCAACCAAGTCGATGTTGCTTTTTTTTTTTAACTGGTGAAGTTTTATGTAGAAAGACTTGAAGCACTTAATCTCTTTAATTATGTAGCGTACATTTTGTTGTTTTCTTTTCAAGATGAAAGATTAATTTCACATTCAGAGTAAACTCTAACACACCATTTCTCGCTTTTACGTCCATTTTCCATAATTATGCATTTACAAGTGTCTCAGCAAAACAAGAGCTGTGAATTTAGCATGTTTTTCTTTGCATAGAAATCGATTAAAACTAGTAAGGCTTTGATTGACTCCTCTGTTCTGGCTGACAAAATCGTCAGGTTTGGAAGCTTGACATTAACATATTACATTAATTTAAACATGTCGTTTTATTAGGCAACGGGGAGAACGCTTTTGTTGTCGTGCGTTTTTGTTTGTCTCGGCAGTCAAAACACAAGACCATTTGAAAAAAAAAATTGCGAAAAAATTAATGGGCGCTCTTACTCTTGCTCTGAACTTGGGAAAAACATGAAAATTCATTCAATTTTTGCCTTGCATCCCTCTCTCAAAAAAAGAATTTTTTCCGACAACGGTAACCTTCTTCAGGTATATTTTTATTGAGTAAGTCTGTTTTAAAATCGTAATATATACCTTTTGTAGTGTTTTTCGGTCGTTTATGGTAATTAAAATCACTCTGTTTTAACACCTTGCCTTTGGCTTCAGTTTATCGGGAGTCCTTTAATCTTGAATCATTAGAAAGGATGGTTTTTTTTGCTATACTTTTCCGAAAAAAAAAGGAAGGTTTTTAATCAAATGCAAACAAAGCGAAACTTCATATTTTCGAAACACTTTCTCGATTTTTTTAAAATATTCTTATCAAGCGTTTCTCTCTTGGTTCAAGTGATCGGAGATGTCTGAATGAGATCTGATCCAACACCTATTTCATAGAGTCTTCAATCAAGTCATCAGGTCGAAATATTTTGGGTTACGACGCTACGTCTTTTGAGGTATATGTTATCACCTCGACCGAACACTTTAGACGAGATCAACATACAACTTCTCCATAAAATATCAGTGCATTATCCGTTAATCAGATAATAAGAATAGAAAAACTTACCAGCTAGAGAGTTTTATCTTAATTGATGTACGACCGAATTCTCTGCACTAATTTACAAGGATATAAATGGAAGTCAAACTTAGGAATCGTGCATCTGATCTTGAGAGTTAACGAGTTGAGAGTGGAGCGGACTTTCCGACATGACACCTGTCCAAATACATCACAAAAATAATGACTCAAACGCTTCCTAATTGTTTTTCACAAAACAAGAGAGTTATGTGAATGACTTGCACATCACTTCGGGAGATTCATTTACGGTTTGTGAGAGAGTCAACTTCCTGTGAAGATCCTATCGGTTTGTGAACAAAGGCGTGATAAAGAAACTGTTTTGGTGGATAATTAACTTAAAGCCCCGTCATACCGTGAACTACAGACTCCAAACGGAGTTATTTTCATTGTGGAGTTTAATTTACAACAAAACGATTAAACATTGGCTTTCGAGCGGCTGTCGGTTGAGGAGCTTGGATTGATGTCTCAAATCTTTCGCCGGGCTGATGATGTTCATGTATTACGAGGGATATCTCCTGACTCCCAATGAGGCGTTAGCGATCGTCTTTCTCATTTTTGGATTTTACACTGTTGTCGGAAACGTGTTGGTTTTTATTGTGTATATCTTAGACCCAGGTAAGAAACTTCGTCGAGTGTCTAACTCCTATTTTGTGATCAGCTTGGCTGTGGCGGATATCCTCGTTGGGATCACTGTGGAACCTATAAACGCGGCGAGTTATTGGACTAATAACCATGGTGTTCTCTTTAGCTATTTCATCTTCGCCGTTCTCTCGTGTGTTTGCTCTATTGCGAACATCTCTGCCCTGATGGCAGATAGGTTTCTCGCCGTTTGTCGACCGTTTCAATACCGATCGCTGGCGTCGCCAAATCGCGTTCGTTTGGCGTTATTACTTATCTGGTTGTTCTCCATCCATTTTTCCATCTTGCCCCTTATCGGATGGCGCAGCGCAAGCTTTCAAATCTACCTTTACGGCTTGGGAGTTCTATTACCAGCAACACTAATGCTCATCTCTTACTATGGGCTGCTGCGTGCACTGAAAAAAAAAATGATTAATGTGAAAAGTTATACTGATCGAAAAAAAGTCACCCACGTCAAAAAAACGGTAGCTCGAGAGCGCAGAGTATCCACGACAGTTTTCATCATGCTGTTAGTTTTCCTTGTCGCTTGGGGTCCGTGTGTGATAATAGATTTTGTTCTGGTGTTCTGCGAAAGTTGTCGCTCAGAAAAGCTTCTTCTCGCACGAGATGTAACGTTAACGATAGGGTTTTTCTCGTCGGGAATAAACCCGGGTTTGTATGCTTGGCGAGTTCCGAATTTCAGGCACGGGCTCATGCTTTTATTTCAAAGAGGAATTAAGAAAAAATCCAGACTCGTCCAAGTTGTTCCTTTAGTAAAAGATGGTCCAAGTGGTGTTATGGACTCACACAGTTCCATTGCAAAGAGCAACATTCACGATTTAGCTTTCAACGTGAGTAAAACACATAAAGAAACTATCAATTCAGTTTGAAGTCATTAGACATCCAATCTTAGTTTATTTTTAATTTTCTTGACGATGCAGGTTTCTTACCACAAAAATAATTGAAAAAAAAAATTTTTTTCGTTTATCAACTATTTGTTTTCATTTTTGTTAGCTGTGAATTAAGATTCTGTAAAAAAAAAAAAAAAACCTTCAATAAACTCAGAAAGACAATAATACTTCATGTTGGCTTCAATACACATTCTGCGTCCTCCTACTCCTTCAGAAATGAAAGTTTCTTGCCATAAATGATTTGTTTAACGTTATCGTTGCTTTCAATCCTCCTTTCATTTTTCATGACTGCAAATTGAAATCGGAATGAACAACCAAATGTCAAATAGGGCTAAAAGAAAACGCTCCTTATTCACTAAATTTTTTCGTTTCCATTTTGTTATCTAAGGAACTTGTCTTTGATTCGTAATGCCGGGATCAACTTTTGGTCAACAATTAATAGCTCAGGAAGGAAAACGGATATTTTCATTAAGAAAAATGTTGTGGCATCACAGGATATAAACTGGAGCTCAAAGTAATTTAGGTTTAAAACTGGAGATAAGAAAATGCGGTAAGCTATGGAAGTAGACCAATGTATATCTGATCTACTGACTCAC